CGGGCGTTGGAGCTACTGCTGGAGCTGACGACCCGGGAGTTGGAGCTGCTGCTGGTACTGAGGACCCTGCCGCTGGTGTCTCTGCTGGTTCTGGAGACGCTGCGCGGCCGCGACCGTACTTCGTACCACTTCTTCACCAGGTTCTTGGTCAGGCTCCTCCTCCTTGTCCTCCTCCCTCCGTAGAGTGTCCTCCGCCTATCCAGTCGCAGTCACAGTTCCCGCCTGCCTCGCCTCTCCCTGCTCCCTCTCCTTACGCTGGTCCCACAGGAGGTCTTACAGAGCGTCGTGAGCCTGAGTCTCGTCCTGCGTCGACTGTTCGTACTGCTCGCACTGGTCGTCGTGTCCCACGTGAGCGTCCTCCTCCTGTCCCTGTCACTCACTACATGACTCTGCGTCCCTCCACTGCTCCTCAGCGTGTCCCGCTACCGTCTCCTCCTGCTTCCTCTCTACCTACTCTTCCTGATCCGGAGTCTGACTCCCGTCGTGCTGCCAGTCCCACTGTCACCCGTCTCCTCGCTACTGTTGTCACTGACCCTACCTTTGAGTCCTCTGCTGCGTCTGCTCTAGTCGCTGAGTTGATAGACTTTGCTGCCCGCTGTCGTCTAGACTACGCCGCTAGCCTTATTGCTGAGTCTGAGTCTGTCTGTCCTCCGTCCGTCGGGGGTGAGTGTGCTCTTGGCACGGACGTCCTTGAGGACAGACAGGAGGAGTTCCAGTGCTTTGCTGCTGCTTTGCCCCACCTCGTGTCCATGCTAGTTGCCCCTGAGGGAGACCCGGATGCACCAGACATCCCGACCCCGCGCACTTACGCTGAGGCGATGGCGGGTCCCTACTCCTCTCAGTGGCAGACAGCCATGGACGCAGAGATGGCTTCCTGGAAGTCCACACGCACCTACGTCGACGAGGTTCCCCCACCTGGGGCGAACATCGTCAGTGGCATGTGGATTTTCAGGGTGAAGCGGCCACCGGGTTCTCCTCCTGTCTTCAAGGCGCGCTACGTGGCTCGAGGCTTCAGTCAGCGAGAGGGAGTAGACTTCTTTCAGACCTTCTCCCCCACCCCGAAGATGACCACTCTTCGGGTGCTGCTGCACATAGCCGCTCAGCGCGACTACGAGCTTCACTCACTTGACTTCAGCACTGCTTTCTTGCAGGGCAGCCTGCACGAGGAGATCTGGCTTCGCCGCCCTCCTGGCTTCACTGGGTCGGTTCCTCCTGGTACCCAGTGGAGGCTTCAGCGGCCGGTCTACGGTCTCCGCCAGGCACCGCGTGAGTGGCACGACACACTGAGGACGACACTTGCGGCTCTTGGGTTCGCTCCCTCTACTGCTGACCTGTCACTGTTTCTACGCACAGACACCTCACTGCCGCCCTTCTACATCCTCGTGTACGTCGACGACTTGGTCTTTGCCACTGCTGACACCGCGGCACTTGCCCACGTGAAGTCGGAGCTGCAGAGGAGACACACGTGCACAGACCTGGGTGAACTGACAAGCTATCTTGGCTTGCGGATCACCCGGGACAGAGCACGGCGCACCATCACCTTGACTCAGTCACACATGGTGCAGCAGATCCTTCAGCGCTTCCGCTTCACGTACTCCTCGCCTCAGTCCACTCCTCTGCCTACCGGTCACTCGCTCTCAGCTCTGCCTTCGGATGAGTCCGTAGAGCCGAGTGGCCCGTATCCAGAGCTTGTGGGCTGCCTCATGTACCTGATGACCTGCACTCGACCTGACCTTGCATACCCTCTTAGCATCCTTGCACGCTATGTCGCTCCTGGCCGTCACAGGAAGGAGCACATGGATGCCGCTAAGAGGGTGTTGCGCTACTTGTGCAGTACGTCGGGCATGGGGCTAGTACTTGGAGGGCGAGACCGAGTTGTACTTACTGGACACTCAGACGCTTCTTGGGCGGACGACCAGGCTACTCAGCGGTCGTCTCAGGGTTACACCTTCAGCCTTGGCTCCGGCTCAGTTTCTTGGCGTTCTACACGCTCTTCTTCTGTTCTCAGCTCCAGTTGTGAGGCTGAGATCTACGCCACAGCCATGGCTGCCCAGGAGCTACGCTGGCTGACTTACCTGCTGACCGACTTGGGTGAGCAGCCTCGTTCTCCTCCAGTGCTGTACGTCGACAACCAGGCTGCCATTGCCTTGTGTGAGGAGCACAGACTGGAGCACAGAACGAAGCACATCGCCCTGCGGTACTTCCTTGCTCGAGAGCTGCAGAAGCGCGGTCAGCTGTGTCTGCGTTACGTGGCCACTGAGGCCAACCTTGCTGATGTGTTCACCAAGGCGCTTCCGCCTTGTGACCATCAGCGCTTCTGCACTCTGCTAGGTCTGTGCCTACTGGACCTCACTTACTTACCTCTTGACCTTGCTTGTACTGTGATCACTATATATATATCTACCTGCATGTTTACTGTTGCTAGGTTGTGATCACTGTATCTCATGCTCTGTTATAAACTTACATGTGAACTGGTCTTGTGACCACTAGCTTGTGCTTGGAATTTGTGTGGTATCCTTGAGATCCACCCTGAGCTTGTTGTTGCCTTGCTTTGCCTTGACTGGTCTTGTGACCCCTAGGTCTCCCCCACTTTGCCTATGGGGGTGTGTCAAATATTATATATGTTGTGTTTGTGTAGGCTGTAGTGGGTTAGCCTATAGGGGGGTCACAACATTAGGGTTTCATATTTGTACTCACCATCCTTTCTAGTTCCTCATTCCTGCCTGTTCATTCTGACACGTTCTTCTAGTGACCCACCTTCCCACACCGGAAACACTGACCCTTAGGAGGGCGGTCGGGTGTATGGACGGCGTTGATTGTGGCCCGATGGGTCTGGCCGCGAAAACCTCTCCCATCCCTGGAAGCCGTTCTCGCGTACTGCATCAGCGCATCAGTAGACTCTGCCACGCGTACTGCTTCGAGAAACGATGTCGGGCGGCTGCGACGAACCTCAAACTGTATCTCGTATTTAAGGCCGCTCACGTATTTATCCAACCGCTCAGCTTCCGACATGTCATCGACCTGGTCGGCGAGGCCCATAAATGACGCCGTGTAGTCTTGGACAGATCCCATCTGCGACCATGCACGCAGCTTCATGCGAGCTTGCTCCGAGGCGGATACGTGCTCGAAGCGATCCCGTAAGGCTGCGCCCCACTCCTTCCATGTGCGTATCTTGGTCACACCGAAGATTGGTTCTGCAACTTGATTAACCACTGTAGAGGTCCCGTCTGCCGCATGTGTCACACCTGTCGGCGTCCCTGTTTCCAAGGTCCGGCGCCACCATTCAAGTGCTGCACCTCGAAGAAGCGAGACTGCGTAATTAATGCGCGTGGCATCGTTATTAACTCCGGCTGCAGTGAAGAAAACCTCAACCCCGAACAGCCACCCTTTTACCGTAACCGCTTTATCCGTAGGATTGAACGGGGGCGGGTTGACGGGCTTGATTTTGATCGTCGTGACTGCAACTGGTGCTGCTGCCGCTCGCTGCCTATCTTCTTCTTCGAAGTCACGTGTGAGCTCGTCCAGAGGATTGCCCATCACTTGGCTGTTGCCCTCGCCTTCGTCCACAGGCGACGTCTGACGCGCTTCACCTCGCGTCCGGCGTAGCTCGGCGTTTTCCTCCTTCAGCGTTGTCACTTCCGCTTGCAGCGATTCCATACCCTTCGCCATTTCTGCCACTTGCGCCATCAGTCGGTTAACAGCCTACTGATCCATGTGTCTAGCACTACCGTCATACCCCGGATATAAGCGCCACCCTTGGATAAGCGCCTGGCGCTTTTAATTGGCGCATGGCGCTTATATTCGCTGCTAGATTATAAGCGCACCCCCTGAAAAAAACCTGTTTTATTATAAGCGCACGTAAACTTTAATTCTTGAAATGTGTTCAAAATCTTGTAACGAATTTTACTTTAGCAGGCGGATGTCTCCAGATTCGGTTCCCTTCACATTCGGACCCTGCACTGGATGCGGGTCCAGTCAGCAGGAGCTGTCAGGAGCTGTCAGAAGCTGTCAGAAGCTGTCAGATTTGGTGTATCTCCCAGTGCGCGCGAGAATTTCACAGACGACCCCATGTAACTTCGACTCGATTGAAAATGCAAGCACGAGATCTACAGCTTGGTGTTAAAAAATGTATAAACTATATATGTCGTTTTATAAACGCCGGCGCTTATAAATTTACCCGATTATAAGCCCACCCCCCTAAAAAAAACCTGTTTTATTATTGCCCCCCATGGGGGTATATCCGGGGTATGACGGTACGTCTGGTGGGCAGTTGGGTACCCGTGGCAACCCGGCAAGTGAAAACACGAACTATCGGAGTCGGGCAGGATTGAATTAACAACCTCTGCAGCCAACCGTCGTGTAGTCAGTAAACCAACCACACCCTATGCCACCAAACTACCCTCGAAAAGGGGGGTGAACTAGGAAAGTAGCTCTAATACCAGGTGTTATGAGTTGTAAAAGAGAGTACGCAGGTAAACGAATAGCGAGACTGTGACTGAATCAATTTTGAATACAATGAATGCACAGACTAATGTAGGGCTAGCCTAGCTAGGAGGAAACCTCGGGTGAGCGAGGTTGGGTGCAGGTTTGGCGATGAAAATGCCGAAGGGGACGCGAGGAGCTTCGGCAGCGTGGAAATCGCCCGAACGTGCGAACTCCGAAAATCGGGTTGTACGCGCAGTAGTCAACCCCGATAAGGAATTCGAGAAAATTCCTTACAATAGAGCGGTTGAGTTAATTCGCCGATGTAAACCGTTACTCACCAACCTGAACCATCTACCAACCTGCACAGTGGTTCGGGTCCCCCGAAATAGGCGAGGGTTCTTGAAAGCAAAGCTGGCGAGATGCTGGCCTTGTGTTCAACGAATCAAAGCTGCGAACAAAAGCTTCAACCCACCGCACCTCGCAAACGACAACGGCGGAACGTTATCTCATGAGCAGAGCGTGACAAATGTTTGGTGATAAAATCGTTATTCGTTACGAAAAGTCTCTTTACAACCTTAGCCGGTCACAGCTTCCCTGTAAATTGTCAGCCTCATTCCAAAATCCCCGTTGTACCTAGGATAACGTAATGCTGAGCATCATGATTCAAGATCACACCAATATTCCCCTCTTGTTCTCAAGGATGCTCTCTCTCCATCCATGTGGTCCAACCCACAGCTTTTGTGATGCGGACCATGCATCACCTCGCTTGACACTACATATATAAAACAAAAGTTACCACCCCAACTTAGCCTCGCCACCAGCCACATGCGTACATGAGTCAGCATCATCATCACTCTAATACCGCCCCCCTCCACCACCACCGCCACCTCGACTGCTATACCCACCACCTCCCCCACCACCTCCCCCTCCTTGATAGCCATGATGCTCCTGTTGCCTGTACCCCCCTCCCCCTCCTTTAGACGACCTCGGAGGTGCCTCTTCCTCCTCATACTCATCATACCCTCCCCTCCCTCCCCCTCCACCTCCACCACCCCCTCTCCCCCCATGCTCCCTGCCATAGTCCCTACCCCTATCATCATACCCATCATCCCTCCCGTAATCCCCACCCCCTCTCCCCCCGCCCCCTCCCTGGCCGCCGTGTCCTGCCCTGCTGCCAGAGCCGTGGGAGTGGCTGTCGTGGGGATCCCCGCCACCCGATGCAGCTGGGGCGTCTGTATTTGGAGGAGAAGAAAAGGGGATTTGGAGGGGGAGAGAAGGTGAACTGAACTCCTGCCCTGCTGCCAGAGCCGTGGGAGTGGCTGTCGTGGGGATCCCCGCCACCCGATGCAGCTGGGGCGTCTGTATTTGGAGGAGAAGAAAAGGGGATTTGGAGGGGGAGAGAAGGTGAACTGAACTCCTGCCCTGCTGCCAGAGCTGTGGGAGTGGCTGCCGTGTGGGTCCCCACCACCTATGCCGCTGGGGCGTCTGTGTTTTGTTGGGGAAAACAAAAAGGGAATGGGAAGGGGAGAGAAGGCGAACTCCTGCCCTGCTGCCAGATCCCTGGGAGTGGCTGTCGTGGGGATCCCCACCACCCGAACCAGCTGGCGCGTCTGTATGGGTATGTGTGGGGGGAACAGGGGGAAAGAAGGAAGAGGAGGAGGCCGGGGAAGAGAGGGTGGAGGATTATGGGAGGTGAGATGTATTGAGTGCAATAGATGATGTCCATGGAAGGGATGTGAAGAGGGTGACTGTATTGTGATGCTGCTCTGCTGCCAGAGCTGCAAAGAGGGGGCTGAAGCGGGTTACCTGCAAAGAGAGAGTTGAGGCCAGGCTTCTTGCCGTTGAAGATAATTTAGTTTCGAGACGTCTCAAAACAGATTGATATCACACGAATATATCTGCAAAGTGGGAGGCGGTACCTGCAAAGAGGGAGGCGTTATCTGCAAAGAGGGAAGCATTACCTGCAAAGAGAGAGTTGAGGCCTGGCTTCTTGCCCTTGCTCTTCTTCTTCAGCTCCAACGCACCACCTGCCAGAGAATGCACAATCATGACCCGATGCATAGCACAACCAGTTAAACAGATGGTTAACATTCGCTTTTCTTTGCTCCGAGAGGCGCATTCATAAAAGACAGGAAAAGAGGCTAGGGATCAGCAAAGTACGATAAGACAGGAAGTCGGAAGAGTGCATGGACGGATGATTTATGGCCAGAACTTAGGCATTATGGGGCATCCCTTCCAAATCTACTCACCAAGAGGAGAATGCGTTTCCTGAACAATTTCCATGTTGCGGTAGGTGTAGCCTACAAAGTTGATGTCCTTGGATGGCAGCATCTGGGTTGAGGACGGGAGGGGACAAGGAGAAAGTGAAGGAATGGGTGTGTCCCCTATACTATTTCCATGTTGTGGTAGGTGTAGCCGACAAAGTTGATGTCCTTGGATGGCAGCATCTGGAATTCAAGCAGAGGGGTTTGAGGGAGGGAGGGAGCAAGCAGGGAGAGGAAAGGGGAGAAATGGAACAAGAAGGGCAAGGAAAGGGGTAAGTATGTCTCGTTTCCTGCAAAATTTCCGTGTTGCCGTAGGAGTAGCAGACGAAGTTGATGTCCTTGAATGACAGCATCTGGGTTGAGACGAGAATGTGGAGAGCCGATGGAAGAGATGGGACGAGTGTAAGGGAAGGAGTGAGCGTGTCTCATGCGCGATATACATGTTGTGGTTTGTGTAGCTAACAGAATCATTATGGTTCCTTAGACGGGGACTCATTCTCTGCTGGGTCGGCACTTGAGCTGCGAGACTGCATGATGCATCTAAGGCTGACTCACTGACTCCCCACTCACCTTTTTCCAGGGGCCTGACTTCTGCGATCCACTGGCCTCGGGGACCTGTGAGGGAAAGGGTGCGGTATGGAGCAGCAGGGAGAAAAGAGGGGAAGAGAAACAGGACGAGTGAACAAGAGAGTAGGAAAGCATGGCGTGGGTGGTTGCCAGGGAACGCAAGTGCCGAATTGCATTATACGCTGCAACGGACGGAATACACAGTGAAAACAGGGTGGGGAGAAGTGCGACCATGCCATGCCATGCAAGTGTTGACATGGATATGCGAGTGGTAACAAGGACACTGCGCATGACTTGTGAGTTCAACACTTGCGCAGTGTGTCTCCCACTCATGTCGTCAAACTCGTTCAAAGCTCGGCTGCTCTCCCCTCCACGAAACTTAAGGTCCACTAAACAAAGGCCAGCGTCCCCCACTCACCTCATCAAGCTTCTCAAAGTTCTATGCATTAAGCTCGTCGTTGACCTCGAGAATGGAAGCTTTGAGCTGACAAAGCACCTTTGATTCGGACTCAGACTGTCCTGCTGCACTCACCTCGTCAAACTTCTCAAAGTTCTGTGTGTCCAGCTCGTCGTTGACCTCGGGAATGAAAGCCGCCTCCATCTTGTACAGCCGGTCCCAGGGAAGCCCGCGGAACCACGGGTGGTTCTGAGTGACGGGTGGGAACGACAGAAAGAGGGGTGGGAAGAAGTTGGCCGGGTGGTAACAGGAAAGGGCGGTATTGAATGTTAAGCAACAGAGATCTGCAGGTTCCATCTTGTACAGCCGGCTTGACTTGAGGGGATGCTGCGGAGCGGAACCACAAGGGGTTCTGAGAGTGCGGTGCTCATGCACAAGCACATGAACTCCACTCACACTCGCTCACTTTGATATCGTTGACGCTCCCGGTGCCCAGCCGGTGCTCCACGTGGCACATCAGGCGGCAGATGAGGTCCCTGGCCTCGCGGGAGATGCGATACAAAACAGCATGCACCACACACACTGTGTTGTAATCACTACGTGCACTCCCTGCACACTCACACACCTTGATGTCGTTGACGCTCCTTGTGCCCAGCCGGTGCTCCACGTCGCACAGCAGGCGGCAGATCAGGTCCCTGGCCTCGCGCGAGATGATCACCTCCTCGGGGAACTTGAGGTGCGTGCGCCAGTTCACAATCTATTAGGGGAACGACGGGCGAGGGTGAATGGAGGCGAGGAAAGGGAGGGGGTGGGGAAGGAAATTAGGTGCTATTGAGGTCCCTGGGCCCCTGGCCTCGCGGGAGATGATCACCACCTCGGGGAACTTGAGGTGCGTGCGCCAGTTCACAATCTGGGGGGCAGAAGCGGGGGTGCAGGGGGGAAGAAGTGGTCGAGGGAGGGGAGTTGAGGGAGGGTTGGAGGAGGGAGTTAGGCAGGGGTTAGAAGGTGCAATTCAGACCCCCGGCCTCCCAACACGGCCGCACAACAAGCGGCAGATGAGGTCCCTGGCCTCGCGGGAGATGATCACCTCCTCTGGGAACTTGAGGTGCGTGCGCCAGTTCACAATCTGGAAGGGAGGGGACGGGAAAGGGGGGCACGGGTACAGGCAGGGTAGGGGAAGGGTTGGGTGCCATGGGGTCAGTACGCATGGTGCCATGGGGTCAGTACGCATGGTGCCATGGGGTCAGTACGCATGGTGCCATGCCATACAGGCCATTAAGGTCAATAACAAGTGTGATCGTACCTTACGACAGGTTGTCATGGGGTCATCAGAATAGAAAGGCGGGTAGCCGATGAGCATCTCGTACATGATGGCTCCCATGCTCCACCTGTTGATTAACAAATTGGCGAAAAGAACATGCCAAGGGAATGGGCACATGTACGCAGAAGAGGTAAGAATAGGAAGGCGGGTGGCCGATGAGCATCTCATACATGATGGCTCCCATGCTCCACCTGATGTGTGGCGGGAAGAGAAAACGATGCAGGGAAACAAAGTAAAACTGAGTGGCTCACATACGCACTCGCAGCGCACACGCACACATGCACACATGCGCGCGCGCGCACACACACACACACACACACGCACACACACACACACACACGCGCGCGCGCACACACACACACACACACACGCACACACACACACGCACACACGCACACACACACACACACACACTTTACACACACCCTTTACACACACAGACACTCAGATTCACTCACCAATCGCACTCCAGGCTGTATCCCTTCTTGAGCAGCACTTCAGGTGCGATGTAGTCCGGGGTTCCCACCGTGGAGTAGGCCTGCGAGACAGGAGGAAGATCAGGAGAGGGAGGACAAAAAAGAGGAAGGATGGAACGGGTTGGATGAGAAGCACATACCCCAGTGGAGCAAGGGAAGAGGGGGAGAGGAAGAAACCAAAAATTGGGTTGGAGAGGCAAGTACATAACAAATCCCAGACCAGCCCATCCCCACCCCCTCCCCCTCCCTCCCCCCACCCCCCACCCACCAGAGTGCGGCGGTTCTTCTGCCAGTTCTGCAGCTGCTCTGCCTGGCTCCTGCCCGACCCCGGATGATTGCCATCAAGGGACGCGTTGGAGAGCATGGCAGCGGCCTCCTCAACGTCAACGGCCTTGAGGGCACACCTACCTACCACATCCCTTCCCTATCCCCCACTCCATACTGACCAGTGTGCGGCGGTTCTTCTGCCAGTTCTGAAGCTGCTCCGCCTGGCTCCTGCCTGACCCCGGATGATTGTCGTTGAGAGACGCGTTGGAGAGCATGGCAGCGGCCTCCTCAACGTCAACGGCCTTGAGGGCACACCTACCTACCACATCCCTTCCCTATCCCCCACTCCATACTGACCAGTGTGCGGCGGTTCTTCTGCCAGTTCTGAAGCTGCTCCGCCTGGCTCCTGCCTGACCCCGGATGATTGTCGTTGAGAGACGCGTTGGAGAGCATGGCAGCGGCCTCCTCGACGTCGACGGCGGGGAAGGTGCTGGTGTCGAGCGGCTTGCACAGCCCAAAGTCAGACAGCTTCATGTGCCCGTGCCGGTCCAGCAGCAGATTGTCCGGCTTGATGTCCCTGTGTGGAGGTAGAAGAGGTGGCGGGGAGAGGGGAGGGGGGAGAGGGAGGAAGGGAAGAGGAACAGGGAAATGGTGGAAACAGCTTCATGTGCCCATGCCGGTCCAGCAGCAGATTGTCCGGCTTGATGTCCCTGGGGGGGGGGGAGAGAGGACAGCGGGGGTTGTAAGAGGAGGTTGAGAGGTAAGAGGAAAAGGGACGGGTAGGTCAGGGAGACGTTGGCATAGAGCTAGCCTACCTGTGCCCCCTTCCCGGACCACCTGTGCACGTAGTTGTGCTTGTGGATGCTCTCAATGGCCAGCACCGTCTCGCCCACATTGAGTCGACCCAAAGCTCATCTGTGCGACCCCTCTTCTGTCCCTCCTTTTCCCACCCACCCGCCCACCTGTGCACGTAGTTGTGCTTGTGGATGCTCTCAATGGCCAGCACCGTCCTGCCCACGTAGAGTCGGTTGACTAAAAGACCGCCGGCGCACCTCCCTCCAGCCAGCCGGCCGGCCCACCTGTACAGCTGTCCTCCATGTTAACCCCCGCCCACCTGTGCACGTTGTTGTGCTTGTGAATGCTCTTAATTGCCTGCACCGTCTCGCCAATCACATCGTACAGAAACTCCTCGTCCTGTTGTGGAACCAACCAACCAGCCCTCGCCTGGTGGTAACCACGTGCCCTCCTTCTCAGCCCACTCTCTCAAACCCCACCCACCCACCCACCCACCTGCGCCCCTCCTCTCTCTCTCCTCTGCCCCCCACCCACCTGTTTTCATCCTTACTCCCCACCTGTGCGGCTAAACCACCCTCCCCTCCCACCCACGCACCCACCCTCCCACCAGATAACCCACCTGTGCACGTAGTTGTGCTTGTGAATGCTCTCAATGGCCAGCACCGTCTCGCCAATGTAGAACCTCGCCTCATCCTCAGTGAGCGTGTCCTTGCGCATGAGCAGCGTCATCATGTCGCCGCCCGGCAGGTACTCCATCACCAGGTACAGAAACTCCTCGTCTTGGAACGAGCAGTAGAGCTGCACGATGCACTTGCTCTCCACCTCGGCCAAGAGGTTTCTCTCTGCCTTCACGTGCTCCACCTGTGGCCGAACAACAGGGTGCAAATCACCGGATGAAGGTAGGGCAACAGGGATTAGAGAACAGGGGACCTGGGGTCACTGGGTGCATCACCAGGAACAGAAACTCCTCGTCTTGGAACGAGCAGTACAGCTGCACGATGCACTTGCTCTCCACCTCCGCCAGAAGGTTTCGCTCTGCCTTCACGTGCTCCACCTGTGAACAGGATGGAGCGCAGAGGGAAGGGACAAAGAGGGGTGAATAGGGGTTGCCATCATCAGGTACAGAAACTCCTCCTGGGCACATCAAAACAGATACACAGCTCCGTGTGTCTGCTTCACTGTCATTGAGGTGATTTTGGAGGCGCCTCAAAAAGGCTCCGCATGCCTGTGTCACTGACGTCAAATAAGACAGGGTCTCAGCACAGTGTGCAAGAAGCAGCCACAAACCTGTTGCCAGGAAGATTCAAAGGACGCCGGAACCACCGGATTTATTATTCTCAAAAGAAACACCCAGCACAAAACACACCTGGCCGCGCCGAAGCATCTCTGCTTTCTTGAGCTTCTTCATGGCGTACACACTGCCCGTCTACTTCTCCCGACAGAATCTCGCATGCATATACACGCACACAGAAACATGCATGTACACACAGACACGCCCACACACATCCGCCCCTTCCCCCCACCTCCCCCCACCACACACACCTGGCCGCGCTGAATCATCTCTGCCTTCTTGAGCTTCTTCATGGCGTACACACTGCCCGTCTACTTCTCCCGACAGAATTACACATGCACACACATGCAAACCGAAACATGCGTGCACACACACGTGCACATCCACCCCTCTCCCCTCCCTCCCCCCCTCATACACACCTGGCCGCGCCGAAGCATCTCTGCCTTCTTGAGCTTCTTCATGGCGTACACACTGCCCGTCTTCTTCTCCCGACAGATGCGCACCTGCACGTGAGTGGGCCGCAGCAAAATGAGTAGGCGGCACAGCAGTGAGTGAGTGGCAGCGCAATGAGGGGGCGTCAGCAAAATGAGTGGACGGCACAACAGTGAGTGGGCGGCAGAGCAATGAGTGGGCGGCAGAGCAATGAGTGGGCGGCAGAGCAATGAGTGGGCGGCAGAGCAATGAGTGGGCGGCAGAGCAATGAGTGAGCAGCAAGATGATGGAACGGGGACAGCACAGGGGCGACATGGGAACAGAGTAGCAGGGGATAAGGCTAGTAAACGAACCCCCACCCCCCCTCTTCCTCCCCCTACCTTTACCCATCAATTCCACCTTGTACCCACGTACCCTCAAAAGGCCCCTCGCCCAATGATGGTGCGCAGCTCCAAGTCATCGACGCCCAATTCTTGTGTCCGTTCCTCCCCCGCCTCCCCTTACCGACATCCCCTTTAACCAACAACTGCCAACCAACCTGCAGCACGCACCTCCCGAAGGCCCCTAGGCCGATGATGGTGAGCAGAGCAGCTCGAAGTCTATACGCTCATCTTGTGTCTCCACCCCCGCTTCTCCGCACCATCCCCTCCACCCATCAATCAACTCCCCGCTTTTCCGCACGTACCTCCCGAAGGCCCCTCGGCCGATGATGGTGAGCAGCTCAAAGTCATCGACGCTCATCTCTTGTGGAGGTTCCTCCCCAGCTTTCCCCCACCCACCGTCATCTTCTTTACCCAATAACTGCCCATTAACCTGCCGATGATGGTGAGCAGCTCGAAGTCATCAACGCTCATCTTGTGTCCCGTCCCTCCCTTCTCGCCCTTCCCCCACCCTTTACTCATCAACCCTCCGCCTCATCCCCCTTACCTCTCCAAAGGCCCCTCGCCCGATGATGGTGAGGAGCTCGAAGTCGTCGACGCTCATCTTGTGGCGCTGCAGGCGGCGGAACTCCGTCTCGCGCCTCTCCAGCTCCTGCATGATGCGCTGCTGCTCCTCCTCCGGCACGTCCTCCTCCTCCAGCTTCCGCTCCAGCTCGTTCCGCCTGCAAAGCGCATAATGCAGGTGACCGATTTGGAAAGGGGAAGAGGGGACCGGGAGGGGGGAGGTAGGGGGTGAGATGAAGCCGGATAACGTCTGTCCGTCTCGCGAGGCGTCTGACAAGAGAGAGGGATGGGATAAGGGAATTGTGATGCATGCAGGCGGCGGAACTCTGTCTCGCGCCTCTCGAGCTCCTGCATGATGCGCTGCTGCTGCTCCTCCCTCCTCCAGCTTCCGCACCAGCTCTTTCCGCCTGCCAGGCGGATGAAGGGTAAAAGCGATCGGCACAAGGGAAGTAAGGGAGACAGCAAGATGGCAGGGGACTGAGGATGGATAGGGAAGGGGAGGGGGGAAGGTGAGGGAGATGGCGGATGGCGTCTGTCCGTCTCACGAGGCGTGAGGCAAAGAAAGAGGGGATAACCGTCCCTATGAGGACGCTAACAAAAAAAATACATGGCATATGTTATGATTCAATGGTTGACTACTCATCTACTTGCAGATCTCAAAATCGCTCACGCTGCTGTGGAACCAGCAGCAGTAGCTTGCGACTATCAGCAATGTCGGCCATGTGCCGCAAACTGGCGAAACCATGCCGGATGCGATAAGGTTTCCAAAAGAATTCGGGGGGGATGATTCGTAAAATCGTGAAGAACAGTCGCGAGAAACGTGAAACAATGTCACGAAAAAAACATGAAAGAGGCAATCTCGAGCGAATGTTGAAGCATTGACATGAGATTTAAATCTCAAAGAGAAAGGCGACGTGCGCTCCAAGAACCCATTGCACATATTTTGTCTTGTTAAAAAATCGAATCTTGGCTTTCACCTGTCACCTGTGTGCATCCCGCCTTGCAGGCGCGTTAGCGCATTATTTAAATACGCCGCCTTGATTCATCCGCCTACTTAACCTGATAATGTTAACGCCGTTGGTTGTGAGACTTGAAAACGCATCACGGAACGAATTAAACGGTCCGAAACCGTACCTATCCTTGCGTTCTTGAATCGTCTTCATCTGGTTCCGATAATGCTGCTCAATGTAGTTCTTGGCAGCAGCCACTTTCTGCTTCGTAATGTCGGACGCAGGATCCATTTCCTGCTCCGGAGGATCCACTCCCTCCTCGTCCTCCCGGATCCGTCCAGGTCCAGGAGGCTTCGGCGCTCGCATGTTGAACCATCGACGGTTGTCCGCCATGGCTGCAGACCTAGCTGCAGTAGTGGCTGCGAACACTTATAGAATGAACACTCCCACGCGGTAATACTTATACACTGAGATTGGAGAGGCAGACGAATGGGAGTAGAAGGACAAGCTGGAAACTACGGACTTGTCCAGTTCAGACAACCAACCAACCAACGACAGTGACTTCACGAGAGATAAGGCTAGCAAAGCCAGCAGGTGAGATTTTTTAGCTGGTGCGCAATTCGCGGATGCCCGCCTTGAGATCTCGGGAGTGCTCGGATTTCGGTAAATTATAACGGTTCTGTGCGATTCTGTGCAACTACTAACGGTGAAGAAGCATCACCGCGTATAACCGCTACTCCTCTTTTTGAACCGTAGATCAGACTGTTCTTTCTCAACTGTCACAGGTGTTCTCAAGGGTCGGTTTGGTGGTGTTTCTCACTCGCGGACGTTAGGGCGGAGATGCTGGCGCGCGGAGCTCCGCACTTCTCCCCAGACGGAGAGTGGACGGAACAGTCGAATGGGAAGACAGACAAGACGGAGAAAGACGGTAAAGGTACGACAAGCAGCATTTGCTTGAGCAAAAGCTTTCGCGATTCGCCAAGCGACGTAGGGACTTGACAGCTGGGCTAGGTCACAGCTTTTGCCGTTTTGCATAACGTTGAAATATCGTCCTTGCTTCCCTGTCGGACATGATGAAACTCTTTATTGAACGATATACCAACTATTCAAGTTTCTTCAACCATATTTTGTGACTTAAAAAAAATGTTCGATGATCTATTATTTATTTGTGCATCTCCATTCCTCTGATGCCTCCCAAAATTTTAAAAGACACGAAATCAAACTCATCATATGGGTATTTGATCAAATCCTTTGTGTATTGAACTTGAAGGCTTATAATGATTGAAAGCATCCCCATTGAAACTTTTTGCTTCTGGGCAAGTACGGTATCGATTCGGATAGGGATCTAGCAAAAAAAAAAAGTTACACAACATACATCAGAAGTGCAGTTTGGCAGATACACTGAAAATGATGGTGCACAATCTCACGATGCTGGTGGTGGAGGTGGAGGGGGAGGCGGAGGGGGCGGGGGCGGGGGTGGGGGTGAGGGGGGTGGTGGAGATGGCTGTGAAGGAACAGGTGAAGGGGGAGGAGGAGGTGGAGGTGAAGGGGGTGGTGGAGATGGTTGTGAAGGAACAGGCGAAGGGGGAGGAGGAGGTGGAGGAGAAGGGGGTGGTGGAGATGGTTGTGAAGGAACAGGTGGAGGAGAAGGGGGTGGTGGAGACGGTTGTGAAGGAACAGGTGATGGGGGAGGAGGAGGTGGAGGAGGAGGGGGGCTAGGAAGGCCTGCCAGTGTCAGTGGTGGTGGCTTTGAGACTGGGGGTGGGGTCGTAGGGCGACAGAGTAGTAGTGGTGGTGGAGTGGCACAATGTTTTGGAGCAGGTGCAGGGACTGGAGCAGGGCCTGGTGCCGGCACGGGGGCAGGGCTGGGAGCAGGCACGGGGGCAGGGCTGGGAGCAGGCATAGGGGCAGGGCTGGGAGCAGGCACGGGAGCAGGGCTGGGAGCAGGCACAGGGGCAGGGCTGGGGGCAGGCACGGGCGCAGGGCTGGGAGCAGGCACGGGCGCAGGGCTGGGGGCAGGCACGGGCGCAGGGCTGGGAGCAGGCACGGGGGCAGGGCTGGGAGCAGGCACGGGGGCAGGGCTGGGAGCAGGCACGGGGGCAGGGCTGGGAGCAGGCACGGGGGCAGGGCTGGGAGCAGGCACGGGTGCAGGGCTGGGAGCAGGCACAGGGGCAGGGCTGGGAGCAGGCACGGGGGAAGGACTAGGAGCAGGCACGGGCGCTTGAGTCACGTTTCCCGCACATGAACCGCTAGGTCCCTTGGGGCCTGTTTTGAACGCTATGCAGCGGCGCGCATCAGGGTAGGCACTCTGGTTCCCATCCCCCGGATTGAGGTTCAAAACAGTGCCGTTCTCTGGAATAGCAGCAGATGTGAGACTGAGTACTGAGCAGATGTCCTCAAAGGCTGCGCGGGTGAAAGGGGCGTTGATGCCTCGCATTCGCAGGGTTGGGGGGTTCCCGGTGATGTAGAACTGGTTGGAGGTGTAGGACTGGACGAACCGAGGAGAGATGCAGAAGAGTGTGTTGTCCCCGCTATTGGCTGATTCGAGAACGTTGCCGTACTTGTCTTTGATTGGAGTTGCCGTCACTTCACCATCGGGGACGCTAGGAAGCCTGTGAAGTTTGGGAATAGATTAATATTTATTTTGAATGGAGTACAATATTAAGTAGCAAAACATATTAAAAAATAAAATGAAAATAATGCTTACTGGAAAATGGGAACAAAATGTTTGTTTCCTTGAAAGTAGAAGTCGCAATCTGCAAGAGGAGTGGCTGGGCATGCTGAAACGGGAGCCTGCTGCAGCCGCCTTGAAGAATGCATGTAGCTTTTCGTATGAAGACTACTTCCCAGCCTCAAAGCGCTCGAATGCGCTGGCCATTGAAGCGTTATCACAAGCCAAAACATGAAAAAGTGAGGCAACAAATTCGCCATTGCGCCTCTACTACCTCCGCAAACAGCAGCCTGCTTCAAAACGATATGGAGAAGAGAAACTTGGAAAATCACAGAGTCAACGAAATGAAACGACTAAACGGACAGGGCTGCCTAAAGCAGCAGCAGCACCAGCAACCTACTTGCAGATGCTATCAGCCCAGGCAAGAACTCCGCAGGGTGGAGGTGTTGGGTTGAATGTGCTTTTGAAATTGAATGTGATTTTGGGAGGCACATTTCTGCCGAGTCGGCTTCATCTGGAGCCGCGTTCATATTTTCCGAGGCTGGCTGTTCTGGTTCGAGCCCTCGCTGGAGCTTCGCCACCTCAGCAGCTCTAACTGGTCTTCACACAGAAAGCCGTGAACCGCCACGGAAGCAGAGCTCGGGTGTGTGGAGTATCAAAACGAGACACGAGGTTAACTGCCAGCTGTACTGTTTTCATTGGCAAGCTGGCTCCAGATGGGCCTTCGCGAGCGGGAATTCATTCTCGCAATCGTTTTCGTTTGAGAGTAACCATTTCGAGCGGCTTCGGCAGGAAAGAAGAGCAAAGCCGATTTTAGAGTCCTCGGTAAACAGAAATGTTTTGTAGAAATTCTATGGAGTTCATTCCTTTTATGCGAAGAGGAACTCAAGGTGAATTCGCGAATAAACAGCGGCAAAGCTAAAGCGTATTCCGCAAACAATCACTCAGGAAGGATGTCAGTACGCCGAGCGCTCTTAGCTCCACAAGTGCGTCTCCTGATTTCCATATAGCGCCGTAAACGCCCTCCATATCAACGGCTAGGATTGCCTGTTCATGGGCAGTGAAGGCGATCTGCGTTCCGACAGCAATCCCTCTTCTAGCAGTCACACTCCGAACCCTAACATAGAATCCCTCGTTTCGCCAATCACCACAGTAACCGCAGTTGCTGCATCCCCCGCCACCACCACCGTCGCCGCTCGGCGCGCCGGTTACCCTACCAGTAGTCGTGACGTGGCAGCCCCGGCTACGTTCGCCGGCGGTGCCGCGGAGCCGTCTTCGAAGCGCGCCAAGCTCTCTTGCCCGTATCACGACCAATCCGCTGCGTCCGCCCGCGGCTTTAATTCTTGCTCGTTCTGCGCATCTGCCGCCGCGTCTCCCGGAAAATCTTCCGAGGATCACCCCGTCGGAGCTGCTGCCATCTGTCACGCCACGATTGGTCGATTTGCGACCCTTTCGATGGGGATGGGGCCCGGGGACGGTGCTGCGGATGCTTCAGGAGGGGAGCAAGTAGGGAGGAGCTATCAGCCGTCCGATCGCGATCGGCTCGGATCCAAGGGTCAGATTCGCACGGTGGAGTTTATCCGCCTTATAGAGCAGTCGCTGCGTTCGTTAGGCTATGACTCAATAGCGGCGCAGCTGGAAGCGGAGTCGGGCGTAGCGTTGGAATCCAAGCCTGTAGCGCAGCTTCGGCAAGCAATCATGGCTGGCCAATGGGAGGAGAGCGTCGCAATCTTGTCGAACCTACAAGGTCTGGACCCATCCTTGCTTCGGCACGCCGAATTCCTGCTTTTGGAACAGAAATTCCTAGAGCTTGTCGAAGCTGGGGAGGTTCGGGAAGCCCTGACGACCCTTCGAGGCAGGCTTGGGCCCACAGCTTCGGACCCGAAGCGGCTGCACCAGCTGGCGGGTTGGCTTCTGTGTGCCGGACCTGAGGACCTCAAGGCTCGGTCCGGCTGGCCTGGGGCAGGTTCGGAATCACGAGGCTCGGTTTTGAAAGCAGTACAGGCACTTCTGCCTGCGTCAGTGATGGTTCCGGATCGGAGACTGGAGCAGCTTATAGAGAGTACGGTGGAGATGGGTCGAGAGCGGTGCCACTACCACAACGTGGCTGACGAGGCGCTGACACTGTTCACGGACCATTCGTGTGGGCGGGATATGATTCCTACGGTTACCACTCAGGTAGGGGGTGTAGAGTCTGTAAGGTGAGGTGTAGACAGTGTTACCACTCAGGTGAGGGTGAACAGGCTAGAACTGAGGTGGGGGTGCAATTAGTGGCACTTCTTTGTCAGGAGGGGGTGAAATCCACATGTGTTAGCAACTTACGTAGGGTTGTGATTTCACATCGACTCGCACATTTCCCATTGCTTACCCCTTTTCACACTTTTTCTAACTCGCCGTCAACTCGCCATTGTTGTTGTCACACGTGTTGGAGCCGCACCGCGACGAGGTGTGGTGTGTGCAGTTTTTTCACAATGGCACGGCAATCCCCGCCCAACCCTTCTCTCTTTCTACTCACACACATCTCTCTCCCCCCCCCCCCCCCCCCCCCCCCCCCTCCTTTCCCCCTGCAGGTATTGGAGCATCACAGCGACGAGGTGTGGTGTGTGCAGTTCTCCCACGACGGCACCAGGCTCGCCACTGCTTCTAAGGACCACACGGCAGTTGTCTGGCAGGTGAGGTTTACTTTGCTACCGTCCTTCACCACATTGAACCGCGTTCCAGCGCACTGAATAGCACTCCCCTCAGATCTCCCACGACGGCACCAGCCTCGCCACTGCCTCTAAGGACCACACTGCTGTCGTCTGGCAGGTGAGGCTAGCTTCCCCACCACACTGAACCGCACTGAATCGCATCGCACCCTGCCACACCAATCGCACAATGGCTTTCAAGATCGACTTCTTTTATTTTCCATTGCTCCACCAGCCTTGCCACTGCCTCCAAAGGCCACTCTGCTGTGGTCTGGCAGGCGAGGTTTGCCTCTTTACCACACTGAATCGCACTGAATCACACCCTGCCACACTGATCACACGGTGGCTTTCAAGATCGACCTGTTCCATCTTAAAATGCAGCACCAGCCTTGCCACTGCCTCCAAAGGGCACTCCGCTGTGGTCTGGCAGGCGAGGTTTGCTTCTGTACCTACTCTCACCACACTGAATCACACGCAACCCCCATCTTCCACAACGACTCGGCACCACCAAGCTTGTCACTGCCTCCAAAGGCCACTCCGCTGTGGTCTGGCATGTAAGGCTTGCTTCTTCACAGGGATAAAGAGATTCTTCACCTTCTCCCAGGGCGCTGAATCAATGACCATATGACTAGCTGTTGGTAGATCAGAGCCTTGAACGACCAACCCTCCCCTCCACTCTCCCTCTCCCTCTTCCTCCACCCTTTTTCCAACCTGCCTTTCCCCGACCCATCACCCTCCCTCTGTCATATTCTTGACAGCTTCTCCCACCGCCACCTGCTCACTTTATCAGGCCACTCCCTCCCGCTCGCCTACATGGCGTGGAGTCCCGACGACTCGCTGCTGCTCACAGCCGGCAACGACCAACTCCCCCATCTCCCACACCCACCCCCCCTTTTTCTTGTCAGATCGATAACAGCTTCTCCCATCGTCGCCTCCATACTCTCGCCGGCCACTCCCTTCCCCTATCCTACGTGGCGTGGAGTCCCGACGACTCGCTGCTGCTCACAGCCGGCAACGACCCCTTTGTGTGCCTCTGGGACGCTGCCACTGGTCAATTGCTCCGCTCCTTCTCCAAACACCATGACGTGAGTTGCGGCCTTGCGGCCTGCCTGCCTCCCTCCTTTTGTCCCGCCCTCCTTCCCTCCCTCCCTCCTTCCCCCCTTCGTGTGTCTCTGGGATGCAGCCACTGGTCAACTGCTCCGCTCCTTCTCCAAACACCACGACGTGAGTTTCTGCCATTCTTGTGAGCCTGTGTGCCTCTGGGACGTTACCACTGGCCGCCTGCTGCGCTCCTTCTCCAAACACCACGACGTGAGTTTCTGCCTTGTCGCCTGCCTGCCCGCCTGCCTCCCTCCCTCCCTCCCTCCCTCCTTCCCCCCCTTCGTGTGCCCTTGGGACGCTGCCACTGGTCAATTGCTCCGCTCCTTCTCCAAACACCACGACGCGAGTTGCTGCTCGCCGGGCCAAGTTGATGTTTGAGTCGACTCATGATGTGACTCCCTGCTTGCCTGCCTTTTGACTCTAAAGTCAACCAAGGGGCAAGCTAATGCTTTACCAAACCTTTTACTCTTGCTCCTGCGCTCTCCGTGACACTCCATCACACTCCATCACACTCCATCACACTCCACCACACTTTAACACGCTCTTTTCTCCACCCCACCGCTTCCTTGGCCCTTTCTCTTTTCACCCCTCCCCCAGGCCATTTCCGCCTGTGCGTGGTTCCCCTGCGGACGGCGGTTTTTGTCAGCATCTGCGGCGACGGATCGCACAGTGTGTGTGTGGGACGTGGAGGGGAGTGAGCTGCCCTCATGGGGAGGGGTGGGGCAGCACCTGTGGCAGCAGGATGGGGGTGATTTCCCTCGAATCA